TAGTCGCAATCGCAGCCAGCAGTAGTACTAGTGGTTTCGTCGTAGTAGTAGTAGTAGTAGTAGCAGTAGCAGTAGTCGCAGTGGTCGTGGTAGTGGTAGGTGGCAGTGGCGCAGAATAAACTCAATGCTGCAGCCATGTAGGTTGACCAGTATGTCGATGAAGCGAACCGGAGCATGACTCAAAGCACGATCACCGTCTTTCGTGAAACCCCACTGTGGCCGATGCAGGCGGGAAGAGAATCGTTGGCCTGGGACAGGCGTGTTGATTGCTGTTTCCTTGACATAGACGTGTGGCCTGGTTGTTCCAGTCCAGTTGCAGGGTTTTCTTCGGTTTGTTTGGGCTTGCATGATCCAGGTTCAGATTGGGTTTGGGCTTCCAGTTGGGTCTCGGGTCCGTAGTCCACCCATCCATCCTTCCATCCATTCCATTCCGTTCCATCCCCTCCCCTCCCATCCCATCCCGTCTTCATCCATCCATCCATCCATCCATCCATGCGTGCTTACATACATATCTAGATATAGCATATATATAAATACACTTGTATTTGTATATAGAGCCTGTGTAAGCCACTATATATGTCATTGTGTGTATATGTGCATATACATACATACCTACATACCTACATGCGTGCATACATACATGCAGAACGGGCGCTGCCAGCGCAGTCACGGCTATGGGTTTTGCGGGTACGTCGCTGGGAAAGCCCACAGGCCAGACGAAGATAAGATCAAGCTCAAAGCACAATGCTGGAAACAACGGCCTGAGCAAACAGGGAACTTTTGGCAGACACGCCAAACCTAAAAGACCAAACACTACCACAGCACAGAACACACCCAAAAAGCCTGTCAAAGTCTGATTGAGGGGTGTTTTCGGTCTGTCATGTTGTGTAGGTTCTGAAGCGCGTTTCAAGGATTAGGACTTTTCAGGTTCATAGGCTCTCGCTTGTTCAAAAACGACACGCCGCAAGATCATACCGCTTGTGTTCCCCCCCGCGCTGCCCCCAACTCCGTCCAATCCCCATTGGCCCCTCTTTTTTTGCCTGTCCCTGCATCACTCTCGATTTGACATCATCCGATCAGGAGTTGTGCTGTTTCTGCTGGCGAAACCTTCGGCCTGGGCTTCGCCCAATTCCCATCCCAATTTGTTCACCATGTCCCGATAATGCAGGACAGCTATGCTACCACATGCTCCAGATGTCCGATTCTTCTGCGCACGAAGATCATACCTTAACAAACTGAATATCGTAGTGTCAGTCTGGTTTGCAAAACGGGCATGAGTAAAGATGCTTTGCCTTTTTTGTCTTTATATACATGTGTATATATATATATATATATATATATATATATATATGTAGCGATGGATTTTTTGAGAAGTGCTTCAGCCTGGAACAGGAAGCGAATTACAGCTTGATGCCAGGTTCAGCCCCATGTGTTCAACGGATCCTGACACGGAATATAGTATGCAGCCCCAACACGCTTAATCACGTTCAATGAGTGTTCTTCAGGATTAGAGTGTGGTCAAAGCCCTGAGGTGGAAACGACCTGGTACTAGCAGAAACTACAGGTTGACATCAGATTTGAACATGTCATAGCTCAATGTACATGTACACATCCGGCATTACATTACATGCCTGGCCTCTTTTTGTTGATAGCGGTTGCTGCGTGTACGCTGAACATGCTTACTCGGCCCAAGGCATGACGCAAATCATTGTTACATTACAAACCAGGTGTTGACAACGTTCTCAAAAAGCTTAGTGACCCACACCTGCCAAACGTACAGCGGTCGAGAGTGGTCCTGAATGTCAAATGAGTGAGGAAGGCGAGGGAAAGATGGTCGGCGCTATAACATGAAAGTGAGATGTTTGTATAAAAATAAGATACCTGGCATTACATACGTAAATGGTTTGCTTTTGGACAAGTCGGTTAAGCGAATGTGCTCATACATACATACAGTCATTCATTCATACGTACATACGTACATACTTACATAATCTCACATATACATGCAAAAAACACATATACATAGATACATACAAATGTGTGTATGTATATGAAGATATGAGTAATTATGTGTATCTGTATATATATACATACACATACATGTCTATGTTCAGGTTAAATTGCATGCATGCATAAAACAAACATACAAACAAACAAACATGCATGCACACACACACACACAGAGGCACACAGACACATAGACACCAGACGAACTGAAAGGCCAATCCCTGCGACCCCAATGTCACATCCAGAGTACCTTGGATGTAGACTGATGTAGATTGCAGGTGATTGCCGTTGCCATTCGACTGGTTCGTGGTTCTGGATAGCCATGTATAAATTTTGCTCAACAGTGAATCGGCAAAGCTTGTGTGAGTATGCGTCAAAGGCAAGGTCCCCCGCTGCTCGTGTTCGATCTAGGAGCTTTTGAAGGAACGCCAGACGACAACCGTTAGCTTGATGTCGAGCTTTGCCTGTGCAAGTCTTTACTGTTTTGGTTCGGTGTCAGGCATCTTGTCAATAGGATTTTTGCCCATGCATGCAGCGCAGGCGAGTATTCCCCCCCCCCCCTTGGCGGGCCGTATGCGGACTCGATCCGAAAAACTTTGAATGTGTGAAGCGGCGAACGCAAGAACTGCATCGACCAGTTGATTTTGCGCAGATCGTGTGCTCTGGAATGCCAGGCATGGCACAGGGGGATAAAGACATGCTGGCCTACTTCACACGCGTTGTGCAGGCAGGGGTTGTCAATCCGACAAGTCAGGTTGGGCCTCGGGACATGATGACCTCTAAACTTCAGCCCAAATTCATGCAGATCGTATGGGAGCCGGTAATGTCCGGACAAGGAGAAGGGAACCTTGCAGTTCCCGATCTACGACCTCCTAAGTCGTGACCATATGCTATGGGTAGGCCTTGAGCATCCGAGTCAAAAACCGACGGTTTCTTGCAAAGAGACTTCTTAACCCCAATCCTCCACTAGCTGACTTAAGCAGCATGTGGAGTACTTCTTTTATTATCGCAGGGTATCATCCAGCGACACGCCACAAGCGACCCAAAACCCCTACGTCCGGAAGCAGAGGACCCCGAGTCAGCAGCGGAGCTCCCCGTGACTTTGGCGACCACGTGCAGCGCCCTTCCCAGCCAGAAGCCGCAGGCCGGCCGAGGGTGTCACCGAGCAAGCGACTGGCATGAAGAGAGCGAGGATCATCGCTGAAAGCCAAAACAGCTGCCATCACTTTCATGGACATGCTCAGCCATGCTCAGACTCACATCTGAGTCCCCTGTGCACCCCAGTGCACGATCCCTGTTTCTGACAATTGTGAGAACTGTTTCAGACATCTTAGCGTTCTGGGTGTACCTGTGACGCGGAAGGCTGCACGCATATGTGGGGCGTTGGATTGCACGGCCACATGCAAGCTCGGTAGGGGTGTGTATCATGTTGGTGCTTTATGCTCACAGCCGGGCTCTGTCGGGTGATGTGGAGTCGCACCACTCCTGTACGTGACGAGATATTTGAAGGCCAGTTCCAAGCTTCCGCTAGGTGCTGAATGACTTGCAAGCTTCCGGTCAGGTTGGGTACACTGGCTACTGGGAGCTAGGTCTTCCAGCTTTGAGCTTCTTGGCAGGATAGCAAGTCTGTTTATGAAAAACAGATGAACAGAGGACCTGGCGCACTTCTACTTCATTGTTCCGACATGACTGCACAGATGAAATGTGGGATCCGCCCAAAATGCGCATTTCTCTGCGAGCTAGGTCTTGCTAGGCTTTTGGAGATTGGGTCCTCGCGCTTAGAACAGTTCATCATCATCTCGCTTCCGAAGCCGCAATTCGTTACCACTGTGAAAGCCCCTGGATCGAGATGGCTTGTCGTTTTGTTGCTCCTGCCGGACATCCCTGCTGATGCTCGTAAGTGGCACGGACTGCGACGAAGCTCTGAGGCAAGTTTCCGCTACCGTGGAATTGGAGTTCCTCGTACGATGAGGTGCTCTTCCCATGAAAGGTTGGTAGCGGTAAATGGGTCGGTGTTGGTGGTCCATTTCCTGTGGGTAAGTACGATTTTGAAGAAAGCAGGGAGGCGCCGCGCTTTGGAACGCATGTGTTGGGGGTTGCACTGAAGCTTGCGGATTCGGGCTCGTTGCCAGCGTTCCAGATAATCTTGAAGAAAGGCCCAACCCGATACCAACCGCGTTCACCCAAATTAACACCCATGCAGTTGCTTGCTTGACTACCTTGGCTTTGGCCCGTAGGTCTAAAATCTTCGGAATGGCAGGTGCTGTGGTCGACCCTTTGGGATCGTTCAGAGCGGCTGGTCGAAGATACACTGCACCGCAGCGGCTAAGGGGTGGCGTTTGGCATCCCCACAGTTCACCAGCTCCTGGCAGCATGTATAGATGAATTCTTTAAACATCCATGAGACGTCTTTGAAATAACTGGACCAGTGGGTCATTCGTGCTTCGCGATGTGCCGGCTCATGGCAGGATTTTCGAGCGCCACTTTGGACGCAAACAGTTTTCTCGGATCGGCAGATCTCTGCAAAGAATTGAAATCTGCAGCATTTCTCTGGCCCCGCCGAAGGTGAGTTGCTGGAACCATGACGAGACTGGTGCCTAGGGCCACTAGAAAGTTGCGTCGGAGCAGACTGAGACGTGCTTGTGCGACAAGATCACGGGACCGTAGCTGTCAATTCCCAGAGTATAGATTGAACCGGATCTAGCTATAAGATGAACACATGGGCAGACAGTTGAAGATTCAGTCGATTATAACGCAAATGTTCCCAGCCGTCGAGCAGGCTCAGGTTCCATAAAGGAAGACAGACCTGTCAGGAATGATGCTGTAGAGCACAGGTTGCTTCATTGCTCAGTTGGGCCTGTGGATGCGGAGTTGGTCATCCCTTTGCTTCTTGTCAGCTTTTTCCTTCAAGTCGTACAGTAAAGGCTATGGCCCCATTAGATACAGTCAGTCGAGTCATGAAATCATGGTGGGACCGGTGTGCTGCCTGACAGGAACCTCAGCGGCGGGCCGGCGAGCTCCAGGCTTTCCAGTGAGCGTCCGTAGCTGGTTCTGTAACCACACATAGACGCAAGCACAAATGGTGTGCAAGACGCTGTGACTGTACGTGCATGCCGGCCTACGCGGAGCCAACAGTTCCCCATAAGTACCGTAAGTACGTATTCAGTCTCCCCCAAAGCGGAAACTCTGAAAGGAGCCTGGCGATTAGCCCTGGCAGCATTGCTCGAGTCTTTATGTAGCACCATGTGATCACCAACTTTCAATTTCTGCAAGCCCGAGCACGGGAGACGATCTGTAGGGTACTTTGGGCTGACCTTCCACCGCACGCGTGTTTCTGAACAGGGTCTTCGAGCTTAGTTATCGAGGTCCTAGCTGCCTGCATGGCCGTGGCCCAGCAAGGTGCAACCTCCGCAAGCACACTGCCTGAAAGGCTGTCATGTTCAGATTGCCCGATGCCAGATACACCATCTCCGACTGCTGAAACTGATCAAGATCAGGATCCGGAAGCCACTCCCGACTGGCTGGAGTTACGAGCCGCTCGCTCGTATCCAAACTGGAAAGAGGATGTGGGTCGCCCAGAGGACGAGATTGACCATCGGCCTGCTGGAGGTCCCCGGCTTTCTTATCTCTGGTGCGAGGATAGCTTAACAGGACCGAAATTTCTGGGATTTGGGCTTAGGGGCTGAGACGATGTGAAGCGGACCCGAACTTTAGATCGAGCGCAGCAAAAAGCCAATCGCACCCGCAAGCATGTCCCGAGTCCTGAGCTTGGGACGACGCGAACGTCGCAGGACAGACACTCTACCTCGGTGGCAATGTCGGTGTGGACGGCAAGCAGCTTCGTTCGGATTCGGTCAAGATTCAAATTTGCTTTATTTTCGTTGTCCTTGACCCTCGTCGCTGCATCGTTGCGAACCCAGGCTTTACTTCATCCCCGGGCATGCAAAGCGGGTTATGGTCTGCGATCCAGAGACAGATCGCGTCACCCTAACCGGCCCCATCTTTCCTGGCAAGTTCAAGTGGTTGAGAGGTGTCAACGTCGATGGTGGGAAGATCTATGGCCTGCCGTGTCATGCTGACACCGTGCTCTGCATTGACGTTCCCAGCGGGAAGATAACAACCATTCCCATCCCGTATGACGAGGTTTTTTCAGACCCGGTTCAGGCTAAGGAGGAGCGTCAGTGCAAATGGAAGTATCACGGTGGAACAATTTGTCCCATTGACAACGCGATCTATTGCATTCCGCAGTCAGCACTGCACGTACTGAAGATAGATCCTGTTACGGGGACTTGTCAGCTCGTTGGGCCAGAGCTTCCTGGCAAATACAAGTGGTACGGCGGCGTTGTCGGCAAGCATGATCAGGCCATTTATGGCATACCGCACAACTCTCCACACGTTTTGCGGATTTCACCGTCGGCAATCACGCTACACGGTGACTACGGCACCGGTGGGCACAAATGGCACGGTGCATCACCTGCCCCGAACGGCGATATTGTCTCTGTCCCTGCGAACGCCGACTCTGTCCTCATCATTCGTCCTGGGCTAGAGCCAGAGATGTTCGAGATTGGAGATACTCTCTGTGTCAAAAGTGGGAGGCACCGCACCGACCGGAAGTACAAGTTTCTTGGTGCCATGACTGGTTCAGACGGCTTGGTCTACTGCTTCCCGAGTGGGAGTGAGCGCGTCTTACAAATCGACACGCAGACGTTACATGTTCGAGAAGTCGGCCCCAATCTTTTTGACATGGAACGTATATGTCAAAACAAGTGGCAGAATGGTCTGACACTTTTCGAGAATGTCTATGCTATCCCACTCGCAGGTGAAAGCCTACTTCGCATTGATTGCAGCCAAGACCCGCCTCTTGTGACAACTTGGCTCCTGCCCAGCCCCCACAGAGTTCTCGACAAGTGGGAGGGAGGTATCATTGCACCAAACGGAGTCATATACACTGTTCCAAATAATCACAAAGCAATCCTCCGCATTGAGGCGCCGACGAGTGAAGTTTCCAAGGACACAGGATATCCCGCAGTGTCCGAGACAGAGGTGGGCATACCTTACTTGTCCGGAATTCCCACACTTCGCTCCAGTGCCCATCGTGTCAAGCATGCGCCTCGGGGTCGCAAGCATGACCCGAGCCCAACACCTGCAGCAGCTGATGAGAAGGAGCCTGGAACGGCATTTTTGCCCGGAAGTCTTCTGAAAGAAGAGGTATTTGCATACGATATCAGTGTCCACAACATGCACGAGGCCGTTGTCAGGTTACTCCAGCAATGCGATGCAGATATTGTTGGCAGCTTCCGCAGTGAATCAGATCTCAAGTTGGAGGACTTTTGCGTTCCTACAAACTCAACGTGGAGGTAGGGGTAGATATCATGGCAGTTTTGATATTGAAAGCGGCTCTTGCTTCGGGCACTCCTTTAGGCACATCAACTGTTCTGAAGTGGTTGGCTGCTGTGGGTGGGGTTATCCTAAACCACGAACGTGCCTCTCAAATCTAAGAGTCTTTGCAGCTTCGGGATCGAAGCTTAGAGGTCCTCCGAATCCTGAACCGTGCGCGTTTTGTGGGACTGGATTAGTGATGCCAGATTTGAGCTTAACTGCTAACACAGTTCTCACTTAAAGCTCGCGAGTCTTGCGCGGTCGCGGGAAGTCTTTGCAGTATATATGCATCATTGCAAAGGTTGGTGTGATCCTGTGCTCCTGTTCCAAAGGAGTTTGAGTACACGTCGGAAAAAGGAGATCCCGTTTCAAACGGGGCATGGAGACACAATGACAGAGTCTCGCTTGCATTGACCTATAGATCCTGCAAGAGAACAACCGAATCGTGCCTTGCACGGACACCGGCGCTTGAAGACGGTCCTGTACCACACGCAAGACCCTGGCAAATGAACAGCATGGACTATCCTGCAAGCCCGGCCAAGCGTTTCTCAAAATCCACATTCGCTCAACAAACCACGCAGCCCTGCTCGATCCGGCTGTGGGTCACCAACCACTATCCCTCTACCGCCTAGACCGTGATGGCCGCTTTGTTTGCTGATGTGGGCCTAGGATGGAGAAGTTCGTGGAGTACTGTAGTACGGTTACTGCAGAGATGATACCACGTGTGGTGTTGCATGATTCCTGACCGCGTTGAAGCCCTGGAGGTCGGTGAACGGTGGGAAATGCGAGGACGCACAAAAGCACCTGGTTCTCACAATGACAGGGCTTACCGCTCGAAGGGCGTTAGGTTTTGACGTATTTCGGGTTGGACGCTAGGGGCTTCAGGGCTTGCGGCTGTTCAGGCTTGGGTGTCAGCTACATAGTTCTGGACCGTAAAAGGCCTTCGCGCCTACGAGCCCAGGTCGTGAGCGAGACGGTGTAGGGCACACGAGTTTCATGTTCTACTTGCCTCAATCTGAAGTAAGCAGGTCGATGCAATAACGCCCGATCGGCTCGAAGACAAAGACTGAATGACAGCCTCTTCAGGAAGGGCTGTGCTAGTCTCACAAAAAAATACACTTCCGGAATCTGCCGGACGCCGAAAGCTGATCAACAAGCCAGGTATCTGTCCGATCAGATCGCCCGGAATGCGGCCTTCCTTGCTGAGTTTGACCGACTGGTCCTCGAAGTGGTTTTGCCTTACATGACGCTCGCACTTTGTTGTCGCGGTTTTGGGGTAGAGGTGGCAGCGTAAGTCATTAGTTCTTCTTTCGGCAGACCCTATAGAAGCTGAAGTCCTGCACGCTTGGCTAGAAGCCTGCAACCTGCATCCTAGAGCGGCAGCAGCATGCCATCATCGACGAAAGACAATGAAGCCGGTTCTCAGTGTCCCATTCTGCCCAAACTGTTTCAACAACTTTCTACACGGAGTGTGCAGTTCCCTCAGCATAAGGAAGAAGCGTCTCGTCGCTGCTGGTGTGGCAGATTCTCAAGTGCCCGTAAAGTTCTACTACCAGCGGCCGCCGACGCTACGATTACAACCTGGCCCTGCTCGCTCGCATGTCAAGGCTGGGAGCATTGAGTAAACCATCGACAACAACAACATCAGATGTAAAGATTGCGTAGCTGCTAGTTTTTATCATGAAGGAAGACCATCGACTGCGACCCGCCCCCACACTAACCCCCGAACGTGCAATCACTCTCTTCCACCAACACAGGCTGTGAGCACTCATCACCACGCGCCCGCCACCTCCATGAGGAACATCATCTTCGTCATTGTGCTTATCTTCTATACTGTGGGTTGTCACGTTAGGGTTCCAGGAAATGAAGAACATCGAGTTGACATGTTGTCAGAGCTGCAATAGCTATAGTGATAGCAGCCACTAGCACAAGAAGTCGTAGTAGTAGTAGTAGTAGTAGTCGTCGTCGTCGTCGTAGCAGCAGTAGTAGTAGCAGTAGTACCAGTCGTCGTCGTAGTAGCAATAGTAGTAGTAGTAGTAGTAGTAGTAGTAGTAGTAGTAGTAGTAGTAGCAGTAGCAGTAGTAGTAGTAGTAGTAGTAGTAGTAGTAGTAGTAGTAGCAGTAGCAGTAGCAGTAGTAGTAGTAGTAGTAGTAGTAGTAGTAGTAGTAGTAGTAGTAGTAGCAGTAGCAGTAGCAAGTAGCAGCAGTAGCAGTAGTAGCAGTAGCAGTAGCAGTAGTAGCAGTAGCAGTAGCAGTAGCAGTAGCAGTAGCAGTAGCAGTAGTAGTAGCAGTAGCAGTAGCAGTAGTAGTAGCAGTAGCAGTAGCAGTAGCAGTAGCAGTAGCAGTAGCAGTAGCAGTAGCAGTAGCAGTAGCAGTAGCAGTAGCAGTAGCAGTAGCAGTAGCAGTAGTAGCAGTAGCAGTAGCAGTAGCAGTAGCAGTAGTAGCAGTAGCAGTAGCAGTAGCAGTAGCAGTAGCAGTAGCAGTAGCAGCAGCAGTAGCAGTAGCAGTAGCAGTAGCAGTAGCAGTAGCAGTAGCAGTAGCAGTAGGAGTAGGAGTAGGAGTAGGAGTAGGAGTAGGAGTAGGAGTAGGAGTAGGAGTAGGAGTAGGAGTAGTAGTAGTAGTAGCAGTAGTAGTAGTACTAGTCG